TTACTATTCACGCGAAAGAAATAATAAAAATTTACAACTTCGTAAATTCATTAATCATTTAATAAGGTTCAATACATTATTTACATAAAAGTAAATATATTTGGGGACGGTGTTACAAGTTCACCCCCCCCTTATTTGGGATTTCGTCCCCGAAATCTAAGTATCTAATCGAAAAGAAATGGGTATTGCTCCCTCATGGAGACCTCGGTCTCCCAAGTTTCTTCTTCGACTCGATCACTCCTCCAAAGAACCTTTACCATAGGAATCTCCTTATTCCTAAGCTTCTTCACTTGTTGACCAACAATCTTCACTGGTTCCACCGCATATTGCAAATCCTCACGGATCTCTACCGGTGGTTTCTCAAGAATATGAGATGGGTCTCGTATGTACTTCTTGAGCATTGATACATGAAACACGTCATGTATCTTCTCAAGTTCAGGCGTCAACTTGAGACGGTAAGCCACGGCTCCAATCCTTTCAAGGATCTCAAATGGACCAACGTATCGGGGGTTAAGCTTTCCCCTCGATACGAATCGGATGATGCCCTTCCAAGGAGAAATCTTTAGGAAGACCTCATCACCGACTTCGAACTCCAACGGTCTCCGCCGTTTATCAGCGTAACTCTTCTGTCGGTCCTGAGCGGCCTTCAGTCTATCTCGAATGACCCTCACCTTGGCCTTGGTGATCTCGACTAGTTCCACTCCTTCGAGTTTGGCCTCGCCAACCTCGTCCCAACACAATGGTGTTCTGCATTTTCTCCCATACAATGCCTCATATGGAGGCATGCCGATACTTGCTTGATAACTGTTGTTATAAGCAAACTCCACTAGGGCCAAATGCTTGTCCCAACTTCCCTGGAACTCCAAAGCACATGCCCTAAGCATGTCTTCCAGAATCTGTATCACCCGCTCGGACTGTCCATCGGTCTGTGGGTGAAAAGCTGTGCTAAACTTCAGTTTAGTTCCCAAAGATGCCTGAAACTTTGGCCAAAATCGGGATGTGAATCGTGGATCCCTATCCGAGACAATGGATATTGGGACTCCATGTAATCTCACAATCTCCTCCGTATATAGCTTGGCCAGTCTTTCAAGAGGATAAGTAATGTTGATAGGCAAAAAGTGTGCACTCTTGGTGAGCCTATCAACCACTACCCAAACTGCATCATAGTTGTTCACTGTTCGTGGTAGCCCCACCACGAAGTCCATGGTCACGTGCTCCCACTTCCACTCTGGGATGGTGAGTGGTTGTAAGAGCCCTGCTGGGTGCTGATGCTCTGCCTTAACTTGCTGGCAAGTAAGGCATCGACTCACAAACTCTGCAATATCCTTCTTCATACCTGACCACCAGTAACTTTCCTTCAGATCTCGGTACATCTTAGTACCCCCTGGATGCATGGCATATGCTGAAGAATGAGCCTCCTCAAGTATAGCCTTCTGGAGCTCCTCATTCTTTGGCACGCACACACGATCCTTAAATAATAAAAGACCATCATCACGTACCCGAAAGTCATCAACGGGCCCCTCAAGGATCCGTTCACGGATCTTCTGACATTCCCCGTCAATGGCCTGACATCTACTGATCTCACTCAGTAGTGTGGGCCTAACCTCAAATCTAGCAATGAGAGCCCCGCATGTGGATACCTCCACGCGCGCCCTCAATGCCCGTAGACATGTGAGTAACGTCCCCGACGTACTCTTCCTGCTTAGCGCATCGGCCACCACGTTGGCCTTTCCGGGATGATAGTCGATGATCAAATCATAGTCCTTGATCAACTCCATCCATCTCCTTTGTCTCATATTCAACTCTTTCTGAGTGAATACATACTTCAAACTCTTATGATCAGTAAAAATGTGGCATGTCTCCCCGTAGAGATAATGCCTCCAAATCTTCAGTGCAAACACTACCGCCCCCAACTCTAGGTCGTGAGTAGGGTAGTTCACCTCGTGTTTTCTCAATTGCCTAGAAGCATAGGCAATCACCTTACCGTTTTGCATTAGTACACATCCAAGCCCTTGGATGCTAGCATCGCTGTAAATGTCATACCCTATCCCCTGTATGGGTAGGGCAAGGACTGGTGCTTCGGTAAGTCGTTTCTTCAGTTCAAGGAACCCTTTCTCACACTTGTCGTCCCATATGAACTTGGCCCCTTTCTTTGTGAGCTTCGTTAATGGAGACGCCAATACGGAGAATTTTTCAACAAATTTACGATAGTATCCCGCTAAGCCAAGGAAACTACGTATCTCTTTCACATTCTTGGGTCTCTCCCAATCCATGATAGCTTTTATCTTGGCGTTATCCACAGCTACGCCCGAACCGGATATGACGTGACCGAGAAAACCAATCTCCTTGAGCCAAAATTCGCATTTAGAGAACTTGGCAAAGAGTTGCTTTTCCCTTAGCCGATCAAGTATAAGCCCCAAATGATGCTCGTGCTCCTCCTCACTCTTGGAGTATATCAAGATATCATCAATGAATACTATCACAAATTGATCTAAGTATTCACTAAACACCCGGTTCATCAAGTCCATGAATGCCGCCGGTGCGTTGGTTAAACCAAATGACATTACAAGGAACTCGTAATGACCATACCTAGTGCGGAATGCACTCTTAGGTATGTCGCTCTCCTTGATCTTCAACTGATGATACCCCGACCTCAAATCAATCTTCGAGAACACTATTGCCCCCCGAAGTTGGTCAAACAAGTCATCAATCCTCGGTAAGGGATACCTGTTCTTGATTGTGACCTTGTTCAATTGTCGGTAGTCAATACACATTCTTAGTGTACCATCCTTCTTCTTCACGAAGAGTACGGGTGCCCCCCACGGTGAATGACTGGGTCTGATGAATCCGTTGTCCAATAATTCTTGTAGTTGGACCTTCAACTCTTGAAGTTCGGCCGGTGCCATTCGATAAGGAGGAATCGAAATGGGTTTGGTTCCCGGCTCCACTTCAATTACAAATTCAATCTCTCTATCGGGTGGAAGCCCCGGTAGGTCTTTGGGAAAGACATCCGGGTACTTGCACACGACCCGTACATCTTTGATGTCGACTTCCTTCTTGGTATCGTCCACCACGTAGGCAAGGTACGCGTGGCATCCCTTCCTCATCATCTTCCGTGCCCTCATCACGGATATGAGACAGGCAATTGATTTCCCCCGATCTCCTTCGAAACATAGCGTGTTTCCTTGATTATCCTCGAGCTCCAACACCTTGGTGTAGCAATCTACTCGAGCATGGTGCTTCTCAAGCCAATCCATTCCTAGGATTGCATCGAACTCCAACATGCTTAGAGGTACGAAATCACAAGTCAAGGGTTGACCCGTCACCTCTACCTCACATGATGGATAGTAATGATTTCTCTCCACGTCGTCTCCTAACGGTGTGGAGACTAGCAACGTTTGCGTCATAGGTGTCAATGGCACGTCAAGGCCCTCGGCGAACGCCTCACTCACAAATGAGCGTTGTGCCCCGGTATCGATGAGGATCCTCGCACACCTACCATTGATCTTTAATGTTCCTACATTTATACACCATGTAAGATACATTTTCTAATGTTTTTACCCATCTTTAAGAGGTTATTAAGTTAATACTAAGGTTTGGAATCAAACGGGGGTCCAAACGTAGAAGAACGGGACGAAAAAATGAATTTTCGGGGGTTGGGGGTCCACGCACGGCGTGCCTGGGTGGCACGCACGGCCGTGCGTGCAACGAATTCTTCCTGCGCCCCACTGCCTCCCAGGCACGGTGCCAGGCACGGCGTGCCTGCGGCCGTGCCTGGCCAAATTTCTTCGAGGCGACACTGCCTTCCAGGCACGGTGCCACGCACGGCGTGCCTGCGGCCGTGCCTGGCCGATTTTCCTTTGGGGCGCCACTGCCTCCCAGGCACGGTGCCACGCACGGCGTGCCTGCGGGCGTGCCTGGCCGGCAGTGGCCGTGTTCCATCTGTTTTGGCCTAACTTGCCCGGTTTGACCCCGGGATGGCCCGCACTCAATCCCAACGACGTATATGATCAACGTAAGCCTAGAAATGCCCAAAATAAGTGTATTACCTGCGACGGAGTCCGGGTTTGCCCGTGCATCCGCCTCGGTCATCGCGTAGACTCGTGCTTGGGTCCCACCTTGGTTGACAGATGCGGCATGGCTTGTGGATGCACCGCCTCTTCCCGTACCGCCGTTTGACGGTCCCGCACGGTTTCTTCCCGTCATGGTCCCTCCCCCGGCTCCCGAGGCACTCTCTTGCATCAATTGAGGGCAATTGGCCTTCATATGGCCCGCATTCCCGCACTTAAAACACCTCGGTGGTTCATTGCACTTCCCAAAGTGTTGTTTTGAGCAATTTGGACACCTAGGTGGCCCCGAGTTCTGTGGCCTAGGTCCGTGCCACCTCGCATCCCTGTTCTTCTTTGCCGGTGGAGCCGGCGCCTTGAATGAACCACCGCCACCACCACCACCCCCGTGGTTGTTCCTTCGAGAATGATCGGGTGGCCCCGAATTATTCCACTTCCTCTTCTTCGCCTCTTCGGCGTCCCTTGCCTTCCTCTCATTCCACTGGGCCTCTCCAAGCATGCCCTGCTCTACCACCTCACTAAAGGTCATGAGGCGGGAATACGTGGCACGGTCTCGGATGTCCAAGAGTAAGGCATCCCAGAAGTGCTCAGTCATGCGGTCCTCATTGATCGCATGCTCCGGTAAGAACCTAGCCAAGGTCCTGAACTCTTGCTCCAGTTGCTTAACCGTGCAACCCTCTTTCTGCTTGAGGTTGGTATACTCCCTCCTTTTCACATTAACCTCGAAATCGGAGTAGTACTGAGCATAAAATTCTTGCTCAAAATTTTCCCATGAGATGTCCCCACGGTATTTCCCTTCTACACCTTCCCACCATGTAGAAGCCATCCCCCCAAGTAGCCGTGAAGCGACAGTTAGCTTCACGTCCGGAGTAATCTGCATGTCTCTCGATGCATCCTTCACCTTCCTGATCCAATCGGCAGCAACGGTAATGTCGCCGGTGCCGTCGAAGGACCTACACCCCAAGGCCCTAGCCTCCTTGAGGTATTTGGAGATTCTTACCACAAAACCTCCTTCATGCCCACCTTGTGGCGCCGCTGGGGTGGCCACGGAAGCTCCCCGACTCCCTTGACCCGAACCACCACGAGAGCCACGCCTTGCTTGGCGCCTAAGGTCTCTCCTCAGCTTTTCTTTTTGATACCACTCAAGCAACTCGCCCATTTGAGCGAACTTGGCATCACTCTCTTCGTCGTCATCATCGGTGTATGTGTCACCCCCATCATACGGGGTCTCCTCATGCTCCGTTTCCGGAACGTAGGTTGAGTCATAGTCCTCGGTGTTGGTTTCATACACCGAGCTTACATGGCCATCACTCACAGTTTGAGCTTGATGACCTCCACGGCTTCCACGGCCTCCACGGCCTCCTCTTGAACCCCGAGATGCAGCCCGGCTTCCCCTTTGGGATGTCACCGGCGCCTGCCCCCTCGGATTGTTCCTGGTCCGCATTCGCCTGCCCTCCATTTCTGAAAGAAATATGGATGAGTCATTAGACTCCTATAAATGTGAATGTCAATTGACGGAAGAACGCTACAGACACGTATTGGCCCAAGTCACCACCATACCAATTGTTAAGGGTACCGTCTTAACAATTAGAGGCCTTGCAACTTAAGCTCCAATAGTCCCATAAACGTCAAAATACAATGCCCATGGTTTTTCGGTAAAAACTCTTTTGTAAAATCTCATGTGAGAGGTTGATTATAAAGTTTAGAACTGAGATGGCTCTGATACCACTTAATTGTCACGCCCCAGACCGAAATCCAAGCGCGTGTACAACCGCCGTATAATCAAGTGACGTCACCCGCGAGTCAACCTCACTTAATTACACAAGGCGTTCGAGAATATAAACCATCCATACTCAGTAGTAAACATACATAACAACATCACACTTAAACCAATGAATAGCGGAAATATTCAACGGTAAGTCATAAGCCACAACCGGCCAACAACATGGGCATGCAAGCCCCAAAAGTAGTTTATAGCAAATAAAAATATCCATGAGCAATGTTTAGTCATTTGAAAGGAAATGAGGAAGCACGAACCACGTCTTCCTTGACTTGATGTCACCCGTAGAAAGGTGCAGGTAGCAAGCCCTAGCTGCAACCTGAAAATGGTGGGGCCCCCCGAAGGGGTCAGTACAAGTACCGAGCGAGTAGCAGGCTAAATATAGAATAACTAGCGTTTCAAGTATAAGACCCAAACATAGGATGATACATATACGTATAGTCTTTCCCCCAAGTTTGAAATACATATTAGTATACATACACTTGGAAATACCCGACCCGTAGGTCATTGTTTATTTGGGAAAATAATAGTAGCCAATATCCTTGACTTAAATCCCAACCCACCCATATACCTATGAGTGTATAGAACTCCTCCTTGTTCAAATAAATCATCATAAGGACACCGCCCGGTCCTAGATCATTAAATGTAATCTATGAGTTTTGAGGATACACGCCCGATCCTTGGGTACTCCACCCTATAATTGAGTTTTGAGGATAACCGCCCGATCCTTGGGTACTCCACCCTATAATACCGAGTTTTGAGGATAACCGCCCGATCCTTGGGTACTCCACCCTATATAACCGAGTTTTGAGGATACCGCCCGATCCTTGGGTACTCCACCCTATATAACCGAGTTTTGAGGATAACCGCCCGATCCTTGGGTACTCCACCCGACCTATGACTTACCACATATCACACTAGATAGGGTCTATATCATATTTAGTCATTCATAACTAATTCAATACATAAGGCTTATGTATCACAATCCATGCAAAGCCATGCAATTATATAAATGTATAATTAACTAATATCAACCGATATTAACTAATCCATTATCCATCGGTCAACGTTGTCGTTGACCGCCAATTCAAGCCTTGTACCTATCAACTTAATCATCATATAATTAAGTTAATAATACTCATTTGTGCTTCTTTTACACTTCAAGCTAATATGCATTTTATACAATTCCTCATATCATATTTCCTGCATAAACAATTAATTCTTTTCATACAACTTAATAATGTTGGCTAATCACATGTTTAAATATCTTTTAAACATCATTATGGACACATATAACATTTATTTAGGTAATCTCGTAATTAACCCAAAAGTTATAAGATATTAAGCCGTCCACTCACCTTGAACTAGCGTTAAGAAGTTCTACCCTTCTTGGTTGAACTCCGGTGAAACTCCGGTGACTTTTGGTCAACTCCGGCGACAATTCCGGCGACTTTTCCAACTTTGTGAAATCACTTGAAATACCCTTTACAAGTGCCTAACAAGGTTTTATAATCATAAAACTCATATTAATACAAATAACCTCTAAAAGGTTATTTTCCGGTGAACCGGTCATTTTGGCTTCTAAGTCCGTTTTTGGACGTAGAACCACCTTCCAACCCATGAATCCATACTTATAACATATGGAACCATACTAAAGGTCCTTCATATGACATATACTTCATATGGTGGAAGAAAAATAAAGGAGAAGTTATAATAAGGTCATTACCTTAATTATTCACACTTTTCCTAACTTTTGCCTTCTTAAATCCTCCTCCTTGGACCACTAGAGCTTGAGCTCGAATTTGCAGCAATGGAGGTGAGTTTGGAAGCTCTTCTTCTCTCCCTTGGGTGGCCTGGTCGAGCTAATGGGGTGAGGGGGTGATAGGATGGCCTTTTTGGCTCATCTCACCAATTATGTGGGGAAAGGGTCCCATCCTACCTCATGGTTGACCCTCCTCCCACCTTCCCTTGTCTTTGTAGCCCCCAAGGGTCACATTTGAGCTGAATAAAACGTGGGATGGCCCCCACTCATGTGGGAGGTCATCCCTTTGTGTCCCGATGTGTACAATCGGTCCCGAAAGTTGTATTTTTCGGACTGTTTTAAATATATTTTATTTTATCGGGTCAAATAAAATATATTATGTGCTCTTACTCATTATTACATGTATAATGAATATACATCCCCCAACTTTAATTTATAAGCCTCCGAAATTCAGTTCGGGCTGTTATCTGATAAATTACCAGTACCGGTAATTTGGGCTTCTTTTGACCAATCGGTCAACTCCGGGCCTTTCCATGGCCCAAATGAAATATACACCACTATATATTTATTATCTAGACCAAGATGAATAAGATATATGGTCTCGGGACAGTCGGGCGGCCCTCGCTCCCGGTGTGGGTCCCACGTGCAATTTACTATTCACGCGAAAGAAATAATAAAAATTTACAACTTCGTAAATTCATTAATCATTTAATAAGGTTCAATACATTATTTACATAAAAGTAAATATATTTGGGGACGGTGTTACACTGGGAGACCAAAAAGGACTCAAACTGAGTGCGCCTGGTAGTATAATCCTCTACTGCCAAAAGCTTAGTAGTCACACTATTTGTGACATTGGTCGCCACGTGAGAAATAGTTTGGGTGAGTTCAGCCAGGGGAGAACCGGTGGGGACGCTTGTCGGACGAGTAGAAGGCACGGTTGAGGAGACGCCAGGTGACCCAACAAAGGTAGGACCCCCGAACGTAGGTGCTGAGAATGGTGGTGGATCAAACGTAATCGGCTGAACCGGAGTAGGGGCAGACCAAGTAAACACAGGAGGCATATTCGGAAACAAAGAAGATGGCATCGTTGTCCGGCTTGGTGACGCAAAATTGGAAGAAAAAGTCACACCGGAAGAAACAGAGGTGATTGCCGGCAGCGTTCCAAAGGAAAGAGGAGAGTCGGTGGATGCCAAGCTGCTGACTGTGGTTGACGACGGGATGAGAGGGGTTGTCGTCGTCGAGCTGGTGGCTGCGGAAGATGTCGACGCTGAAGAAGACATATTGGCCGAGAGTTTGGATAAAATCGGAGCTCACCGGCGGCGGCGTAGAAAGCCAGGCGGCGCCGAGATGTAGAGAGAAAGAGCTGAAAAAAATTTAGGGTATAAACTGTGCTCTTGATACAATGTGAGAATAATGGAACAGGATGCTCTCTAAGGAGCCCTGACAGATATATTTATACTAGTAGAGTTTAATGTAAAATACAAGAGTAGTCCTAGTATAATTCTATTACTCTTCTTCTTCTTCCTCTTCCTCCTCCTCCTCCTCCTCCTCCTCCTCTTCCTCTTCCTCTTCCTCCTCTTCCTCTTCTTCTTCTTCCTCCTCCCCCTCCTCCTCCTTCAATTTCTTAGTGTATTTTTTTTTTTAATTTTCATTTTCAGTTCACCCCGCTAATATTCAAGTCTGGTATAATTACTCTTTATTCTAGTCCTACTCGAACTTTTGGATCTGCCCCTGGTTGTTGATAATTGGTTAAAACATTGCGCCTTTTTATATATGTATATAAAAATGATGTTTTTAAACAATTTATTTAACTGACCTCTTGGATGAATTCTAATATGTACTCCCTCCGTCCCGAAAACAATCTCCCGGTTTGACTTTCACACACTTTTAGAAAATAAATTTGACTTTACTGTAGAGTGCACTGTTTTGCACTGTTTAAACACTATTTTGCACTGTTTAAACACTGTTTGGCACTGTTTATCACTTTTTTGATGTAGATAATTTGCCAAATAAGGAAAGTATTGAAGTGTGAAGTTAATTTTGGGACATCTATTTAAGGAAAGTGGGAAGTTGTTTTTGGGACGGAGGGAGTATTTTAGTAGACGTAAGATACACATCATGAAGAACATCTCACAAACTTTCATCATAAAATTCTACCGGAAAACACCTCAAATGGAGGCAACTGAACGGCGATTCCTGTTAGGCCGACATCACAGCCGACATCACAGGAATATTCATCACATCAAAGATATAGGCACACTCATAGAGATACCATAAAATTCTGAAATAAGTAAAATTAAAGTAAATAAATTATACTAGGGGTTTTTTACTTTTACTTATTTCATGTCCATACTTTTACATTAGAAATGCTACTGAGACACAGTAAATTCTCCAATGAAGTGAGAGGATCGAAGATTCCATCCCTTAGTTAAAGTCGTGTGACTTTTAGACTCTTCATTATTTATTCTAATTTCAGATGCCTACTCCAACAAGAAGGCGATTTTGTCCACTCTATTTGAGGTTATTCATAGGCTTTATTTTCCCCATTCTCAGTAGGTGTCCCACTTTTTTACTTTTATAGGTTTCCAAATAAATTAGATCCAACTAAATTATTTATTTGATATTTTATAAAATAACGATATATATGATTAACCAAGCATTCCAGTCTAGCTGGGTGTGAGGTTACCGTGCCTAGCGAGAGGTCTCGAGTTCGAAACCCGTTAGGCACATAAAGGTTTGAAACTCAATGGAATGAGTTTCAGTCCTGATTGCTCCAGGTCCCCCAGCCCCCAGACTCCCTGGAGTAACAAAAAAAGATAAAAAAAACAATCTATATGATTAAGATGAAGCAAATGATAAAAATGTATTTATTTTGTACTTTAGTGATTATAATAGTTACATTCATTGTCATGATTATGTTGGTTCTACACTATAATGACTATGACAATTTACTCATACTCCGTATGAATTTTAGTATTTTTTTGTCTATAAAACATACTTAAGTAATATCATGGAAAAAATTCATATTTTACGCGCCCCAATGTTACACATGTAATAAACGTCCCTTTTTTTTGTAACAAGGAGACTTATATTGATAATAAAACATTCAGCAAGGGACACAAGAGAAATACCCTAGACAGAGCAATATGATTCACTGATCCTGTAGTGGGGCTAAATGAGCCTAACGTGGCCAGAGCAATACCCTCATCACCCCCACCTAATGTAAGAGTTTGACAAAAAAAACGTACCTAACAACCAAAACAACATGAATATCGAAGTAAAAACACAAACAAACTAAAACAAAAATAGAAATAGACTTCCAAACCCTAGACGCACAATTCCTCCATGGAGGCAGTTCAGGAGGGGGATGAGTCAACATCTCTTCGTCTTCTTTTTCCCAAAAGAGATCACCACTGCCCGCCCTCAATTCTTCCAATCCAAGATCTTCCACCTTGAAAGAAAAATCTTGCAGAGGAGGCCCCGGTGGCGGTTCGGGAGGGGGGCGAATCCAGGATCGTTGGACTGCCTTCCGCCTCGACCAGCCATTCAAAGTTTCTGGTTCGCTCCTTGCCCTTTTCATCTCCACCAAGGTCAATAACAATCCCCTCCTCTTCCTCATTTATCAACCCTTGACATGTCTCCACCAAAATCCCAATTGAAGCCGCCTTCTCCATATGCCCGCTGCCTACGCCCGCAGAAGCCGTTGACCTGTTCTTGGAAATCTCCCGTCACCAAAGTCTCCCGCAACTTGCCGAACGGCAAATAAAAGCCAAAAGCACGACTTCCACCAACTTCCTCCCAACAAAAACAAATCTAACCTGAGCCGAATCAATCTCACAAGATTCTAGAATTCAAAACCTCCAATTGTAGACAAAAGCATCGAAGAGAAGAAACCAAAATATCTGCACAAAAACGACGGCAATACAAACCCTAAAGGGCTAGGGAGACGACAATAAACGTCCCTTTTGATAACACTAGAATTAGTTTAATTTGATGAAATAAGTAAAATTCTGATATGTGATGTTGAATTTGCTGAATAATAAAAAATTATATCTAAAATGTATTTTATTAATATAATAAAGAAAAAATACATGAAAATCGCTAAAGTAGTGTTCTTCACGATGTTTAGTTATTAGAAAAGTAACTTCAATATTACTTATTCAAATTATTACACATGCTATGTATGTTGTGGTCTGATGGCATCACGTAACACTTCCAAAGTGGAGGTCTCAAGTTCAAATTTTATCCCAATTCAAGGATGTTGGCCTTAATAGAACACATACTATAATAGGTTAAAAGATTTGCCAAAAAAAATGAGTAAAGGGTCAGTTTGGTCCTCGAAGTTGCATAAAAGGGGTCAAATAAGTCCTTATATAGAAGATTCTGTCCGAACGTGCCATTTGAGGCGGTTCCCGGTAGAATTTTTAGATAAAAGTTTTTTTAGCATCTTATTCACTAAGTCTAGTTTACTTATACCACATTTTAGCTAAAAATTCAACCGGGAAGGCATTCAAATGAATTCTTGAAGATAACTGCGCTTTTAAGTGCACAGTTATCTTCAAGAATTCATTTGAATGTTTTTCCGATTGAATTTTAATCTGAAATTTGGTATGAGTGAATTAGACTTAATTAATAATATGCTCAAAAAATTTCATCAACAAATCCCACCGGGAACCGCCCCAAATGGCGACGGCCGGATAGAACCTCCTATATAAAGACTTATTTGACCCATTTTATGCAACTTTGAGGATCAGACTGACCCTTTATTCAAAAAAATATTATTACACATTTCAGGAAAAAAATCACTTATTTAATAAAAAGTTGATTGATAAAACTCATAAACTTAAATCAAAGGTTACCAAACAAAGAGTCTCGATAGATTATTTGTAGTGCAAATCAAATCCTCAAATCCACACTTAAATCAAAGGTTACCAAACAAAGAGTCTCGATAGATTAATTGATTACTACGCTTTATGTATATGTGTGTGTATTCACATATATATATATATATGTGTGTAAAACATAAAATGTTTCAATAATTTATTTAACCAACTTCCCAATTGAATTTTAGATTGAAATTTTGTGAACAACATGCTCAAAACATTGCATCAAAAAATTCTACCAGGAAGACCCTCAAACGTGCTCGGCCGGACAGTGGTTCTGGTCAAGCGAGCTTGACCAAATGTGTTCTGCTACTTTTAAATGGTTGACGAACACAATTTTAATTTGAAAAAATGACATGTATATAACTAACATAGTTTCTCTGGTAAAAAATATAATTAGTTGTGTTTTGGACAAAAATATGACTAATTACTATGCGCGACTAACTGGATACGGGTCATCAATATAGTGTATTTCAGAGTTACGAGTGACGAACTGATAGATGATGGATAACTGCGAACTAGTCACTTAATATATCATTTTTTGAATTTTTTAAAATAAATCATAATTTTGTATTAGAGTTTAATTAAGTAAATTGATGGATGAAATCCTTCTAATTTGTGTGTTTCATTTATTTTATATTTTTATTATAGTTTGATGATTTTAAAAGGGAAAGTGAAGCGCTTATTTTGATACAATTTTCGAAAATGCGAGATAATGTATGTATTCTGAATTTTTCTCACTTTATTTTATTAAGTGCTTACTTTTATTAACTTTGCTCTTTAGGATGACACCTTCATTTAAGAAAGAATGAGAAAACTAAGACTTGTAGCCTTTGATTAGACAAAGAAAGGACCGATTTACTTTCAACCCCATTGTTGTTTAACAAAACTTGAAAAGAAGCAGCAGCAAAAAATAAGAGAAAGAAGAGGACGATCCGGCAACGACCAGAGGCATATACTCCGGCGATTACTAGCGGCAGACCGGCAGTTAACACAAAGCATTCGAGGGTCCAGGTGAAGGTCAACGGAATTGAGGACGGCTTCGGCAAGGGAATTGTGAATCCCGATGGATACGATGGAGGACGGCAGGGAATTGTGAATTGTGAATTCGTGAGGATGGCTTTGTTGCGTGATATGTGGCTGGTGCGTGAGATGTGAGGGTATTTTTGTCCCTCGGGAAAAAAATAGTCCTAGACGGGAGTTAATAAACATTGAGTCCTATTTAAGTTCCACGAGCATCTTTTAGTCCCACTTATGTCTTTATCCCTAGAAAGAATGAGAAAACTAAGACTTATAGCCTTTGATTAGACAAAGAAAGGACCGATTTACGTTTAAGACAAAAAAATGTCTAAAATGATATGAAATTCCCCAAATGCCCCTAAATCCCTAAAATCCAATTTTGCCCACGTTTGAGGTTCCGTCCTCGTCGAACTTCAACCTCTTGCGCATTGGAGAGTGGCTATGGCAGTGATGATGGCAGGAAATTCGTCGAGGAAATCGTCCACCTTCAGTAGCTATGAAGAAGACGATGCAACTCTTCTTCACTGATGTCAGCGACGGAGCTCTTCGAAGACGACGATGAAGATCTAGAACATAACTATTTATGTTCCCTACTCATATGTATCGCTTACATAAGGCTATTTGTGGTCTTAAGCAGGCCCCACCGGCAAGGTTTCATAGATTCAGTAGTTTTCTCATCTCTCATAATTTTTTGTGTAGTGAATCTGATAACTCTCTATTCATTTATCTTCAAGGGCCTCCGTTCTCTATTTATTATTGTATGTGGATGATATTATACTCACTGATAATTCCTCCTCTCTGGTCAACTCTTTTATTCATCTCATTGCTTCTCAGTTTGCCATGAAAGATTTATGGGATCTTAATTTTTTCTTGGGAGTTCAGGCTGTTCGTACATCTCTCTCTCTCTCAGCAAAAATATGCATCTGATTTACTTCTTCGTTTTCACTTAACACACTCTAAAATATGTGCGTACTCCGCTGACCACCCGTACTTCTCTCTCCCTCACAAATGGTGAACTCGTAGCAGATGCGACTAAGTATCGCAGTATGGTAAGTGCATTACATTATTTAACTTTGACAAGACCTGATATTACTTATGCAGTTCATTTAGTGCCTCAGTTTATGCATGCTCCTCGTAACACTCATATGCTTGAAGTTAAGCGCATTTTCATATATTTACAGGATATTTTTTTATCATGGATTATGGTTCCAATTCTCTACTCAACCATTACGAATTTTGGCATATTCTGATGATGATTGGGCTGAATGTCTTGATAGTTCTCGTTCTACCACTGGGTTTGCTGTTTTCTTGGGTCCTAATCTTGTCTCTTGAAAGTCCAAAAAGTAGCCTACTTTCTCCAAGTCTTCTACAGAGGCAGAATATCGTGTCATTGCTTACACTGTTCAGGACACGATACATATCCGCTCTATTTTGTTCGATCTTGGGTTCCCTGTTCGACTGACAGTACAACTGCTGCGTGATAATATTTCAGCATCTTATTTGACTTTCAACTCTGTCCAGCATGCTAGGAGCAAGCACATCAAGATTGATTATCATTTTGTTCATGAGAGAGTTGCTCATGGTGATTTACTAGTTAAATATATTACTACTCATCTTTAGTTAGCTGATATTTTTACAAAGAGTCTTTCTAGTCAGCAATTTCATTTTTTAAAAGATAACATGCGCGTTGTATCTCTCGCACAGTTTGAGGGGATGCAATAGGTAATATAAATTTTGAATCCTTATGTATTTTGGCTGCTATTTTTTTATAAATATATCTGTCAGGACCCTGATTAGGGTAACCTGTTCCCATTGTCCGACATTAACTGCAACACTTCTAGATAATATCATGGAAGAAAGGGAGATTTCCAAAATAGGAGTAATTGGAGTTTGAAATTCCAAAATAGGACTACTATGTTTTTATTCCCAAAATATGACTAACATGACAATATTTACTGTCATATTGTAGGCGTGACTGTCAAATAGTTGCAGTACACTGCATTTTACTTGACAATATTTATTGTAATTAATGGCAGTACTTTTCAATCATGGCAGATATTTTTCATACATGACAATAACAACTTCTATTTCGGGGAGAAAAACGTATTAGTCCTATTTTGAAATTCCAAACCTCGTTACTACTATTTAGGGCAATTTCCCTTAAGAAACACATCTACTTTCTCCATTTCCCATTCAGAAATTACCCTAAATAGGAGTAAAAACGTTTTGAAATTCCAAAATATGACTAACATGTTTTTTTATTCCTTGAATATGAGTAATCTGCCATGTTTGGAAAAATGTCACGTTTAAAGCCTAGTATTGCCAAACTTGACAGAAATTTACACTTATTCAGAAGATAAAAAACACGATAGTCTATTTAGGAATTTCAAAACGTTTTTACTCCTTTTTAGGGAATTATCTCTTTCCCATTCTAAAGTACGCCATAATCCACCTACAAAGTCAAGATAGCAAGAGTGCAAGACGACTCCTCGACCAGCCTTTCTAATTGCAAGAAATGTTCGAATGCCGATCAACGGGTGATCCAACCCCAACTTTCAGTGGCTCCTCAACTTAAATGGCCAGTAAAAATTGTTTGATGCTCCATGTTAGATTCCTTTAAACATTCAGATTATAGTATTACGTACTATATAAGGATTCGATGCTTTTGTGTGCTCTCTCCCCAAATCTTGTAGTACTCCGTATAATTTAATCTCCAATGGAATAAACGCTAATATATATACCAGTTAATATACTATGAGAAACTAAACATTTCAGTCCAGCTGATTGTGAGTTTATCTGCCTAGTGAGAGGTCTCGAGTTCGAAAGCCGCTAGACACATAAGGGTTCGAAACTCATTGGAGTGAGTTTCAGCCCTGATTACTCCAAGCCACCAAGCACCCATCCCCCAGATCCCCTGGAGTAAAAAAATCACTATTATGAGAATCGTTCATGAATTCGCAGGTACGATTCGTAAACACAGTAAAAAATGAAGCCAGGTCAAAGTTTTAATTTATATTTATGTTGTCTTTCATATGTTATCTTTTCAGAACCTTGTGTTTGAGTTTGATGTCCTAATAACAATTTATAGGTTCTGAACAAAAGACAAAACCAGGCTCCTAATTATATACTATCGTATGTGGTAAGAATGTATTACAAAAGTTTCATTGTCAAAAATAAAACTTGTTACAATTTCTTTAGGTATTCTTAGAATCAAACTTGTTAATAATACTATCAATTTTCAGTTCTCGGCTTCGGTGAGGAAGATAGAAAGTCATCAGCTGTGTTCCGCGTGTAGCTCTGCCGCCATGGCTCAGTCTACGGATATGAGGATTGATGGTTATCTTTTACGAAGTATAAGAGTATACATAAATAGTCTAGTTAGGTGCTCTTGACCGGATGAGCCCCTCTTCCTGGTGGGCCCTGGGTAGCAGCCCAAGTTGTCCCTATACTAGGACCGGCCTTGTAGCTCAAAGAACATGGTGAAGATTTGTGAAATTCAAAGCATTTGCAATTTCTCGAACAAAATGAAAATGCTAAAACAAGAATTTGATGTATTTATGTTTAATTTAATTTTAAACGGAGGCTGTGGATAGTAAATAAGTGGCTCTATTTAGAATTACCCTTAATTTTTAAGGTAACAAATTTCGTTTAAAATATTTTTCAAAAATATTTTTTGTACAAGTCCAGTACGGCCCAGTGGCTTGGCTCCGCCCCTGTTATGCGGATTATAGGCATTCTTAGGTAATGCTCAAGCAGAATTAAATAGGACTAATTGAACTTAGTTTATCTTTCATTTTGATAAATCATAGACGTCAACAGGAGTTCTAATATCTAAGAGATAACCAGAAGGAAAATTTTAAAGCAATATTTTTATGTTTAAAATATTATTGATGCTTGCACATGCGTGTTTAAATGTATAACAAATTAAACTTTTTGTTTAGAAATATATCAATTTTAGAATATATAAAACTCGAATACAATTCAAGCACAGACTCAACTCGAACCAAGCCATAATTCTTTTTGACTAGATTGAAACTCGTCTCGAACTCGAACTCAATCTTGTTTTTTATTTATCAAGTCTAATTCTATTTAAGCCAAAGTCGAGCTCGACTCGCTCGATTAGTACCTATGTGTAATAAGTGATGATAAATAAAAAGTGTAATAACATTTCAACATTTAAAACACGAAAAATTCCACTTTTGGTCTCATGACTATTATGCCACTTCCACATTTATCCCTTGAGTTTCGATTTAACCACATTTAGTCCGTGACCTTTTTCCCTTCACCATTCTTCGTCCTTCCAACCGCAACTCCAACACATTTTAACTGGAAAGCCATTTACGGAGAAATATTTAGGGCATTTTAGTAAATATATGTTATTAAAGGGGGTACCTTATAAATTAACTTGACTTAATGCGTAGTTAATATGTCGGTCTCCCTTGACAACCGAACTCTTCTCCCTCTCAACCACATATTAATGAGACTGACGTATTGACTACACATTAAGTCAAGTTAATTTATAAGGTAGCCGTTTTAACAACATACATGTACTAAAATGCCCCTAAAATATATCTGTAAATGCATTTCTGGTTACAATGTGCCGGAGTTGTGGTCGGAAAAACGACGGGTGGTGAAAGGGAAAATGTCACGGACTAAATATGATTAAATCAAAAGTCTAAGGAAAAAATGTGAAAGTGACATAATAATGAGATCAAAAGTGGATTTTTTTGTTTGAAACACTCGGTAGTCCGTATTACATTTTGATACACGTATAATTTATTTCTTCTTTCTGTTTTTTCTCAATTCCCAATTCGCTTTGCCCTGTTGGCTCTCTTCAACTTATCAAGACTCGCCATTCTGGCGAAAATCCTATGAATCTGGGAAAGCTTGTGGCCCTGCTGAGATATCAGATTTGTAGTGGAAGTGCTCTGGCTCAATACAATCTCATACCCATCGCGGAAATTTTCCATCCCGTCAGCCAAAAGTTGCCAGAACAGACTTCCGGCGGCAGCACCGCCGCGCTCGGCGGAGGAGTATATGGAGTAGTAGACAGCCCTGAAGAGGGCATCCCTCTGGTAGGGGGTGAAGCCGGGGTCCTTCCAAGATTTCCCGAACTCGGCGATGAGCAATGGCTTCTTGAGGATGTTCTGAGAGTCTTCGATGTGGGCATTAAGCCAATTGGTGAGGAATGTTAGCTGGCTTTCATCATTTGTCTTCGGAAGCCTGGTAACCAACATCAAATCATTAAGGTACTCCCCCATCTCAAAAATTTTTTCGAACTTTTCACAACATTTTTTCTAATTTGCTTAACTCTACGTCACACAATACTTACTATCTTAACTCATGAGTCATTTGTACTTGAGATGAAGTAGGGACAAATGAAGAATCTAATACTTCATATGTCCCAAATTGGTTTGCAAAGTCAGCATTTTTGGGTCAACTAATGTTAAAATGAAATCCTACCCGTTGATAATTAATTAAATTTTTAATAATTTAAATTTATATATTCAAAAAACTAAATTAAAATATTTCCAAAGTTGCAAAGTCCAAAGTAGAACATATTTAAAAATTGACATCCAAATTAAGTGAACATAATGAAATTGTTTGCTCAAGAAAAATTAATTTTGCAAATCAATTTTAGACGGAGGTATTAGGGAAAGTCAATGTACCTTTCTTAAGCGAGTCTCAAATGTTCTTACATAATTTGTTTTTATAAAAAAAGATGATAAGTTATAAAAAAAATACACTCCTTTCGTCCCTAAATAAATATATCACTTTTTTTTTTGTTGTTCCTAAACAAAACAGTGTTAAATAATGTCAAATAGTTTTAAACTGTGTGTAAAACAAAGTGACACTTTTAAAAAGGGACGAGGGAGTGCGATGTATGGACTCTTGTCCAAGTACTTGAAGAGTCCATATGCATTTTATATAGTGACCTCTCATCGAAGTTGTGGATAATTGAATTTGAAACTTGTCCCTTTTAACTCTTCTATCTACCGAGCTACGCCCACCACCTTATTTTATTATTGGCTAAAGGGTCAAATAGGCCCTCGAACTAAATTAAAAAGTGAAAATCACCCCTTATATAGGAGGCTCTGTCCGGCCGTCTCCATTTGGGGCTGTTTCCTGTGGAATTTTTTGATGTTTTTTTAACATCTTCTTCATTAAGTCTAGTTTACCCATACCAAATTTCAGATAATAAATCTTATCGGGAAGACAGTCAAATGATTTTCTGAAATGTACTGCGCTGTTATCTTCAAAAATTCATTTGACTGCCTTCCCGATTGAAGTTTTAGCTGAAATTTGATATGAGTAAACTAAACTTGATGAAGAAGATGCTTAAAAAATTCCACCGGGAACCGCTCCAAATAGTGACGGCCGGGTAGAATCTCCTATATAAGAGGTGATTTGCACTTTTTAATTTAGTTCAAGAGTCTATTTGAGCCTTTAGCCTTTAATATTTTCGCAAATAGGAGACAATATGTTTGACTGTTTGAGGCAGGGGTGTGCCCGTACCATTGATCAGGATAGGAGTGGGCGGTGGCAAAATCAATAGCTGAAATTTGATTGTTTGCAATGAAATCTGTTCCTATGTTGAAGGCATTGAGATGAGTCCTCTGAGGTGTTGTTTGGCCATAAAACCCTTCCAGCCCAGCTTCTAGCATGTGGTTTTTGTCTATGGACTTCACATAACAAGCCATCTCCCTTATCCAGGCCTGTCATTCATGCAACAATAAAAGTTACACTCAGATGATAAAATGGTTAGAAAAATGGTGATTAACTGGCATATTGTTAGTAGTAGGAGTCTTTGGTTTGTCACAATTCTCAATCAGATTTACTTTTTGAAATGATTACAAATATATACGGAGTATCACTTAAATAAATTTAGTGGACATAAATTTGACTTTAATTTGAAATCATTTCTTATAGGTGAAAACTAATTCAATTTTTAAATTTAGTTTGTCACATTTTGGGTTCCATAGGTATAAAAGTGATTTTTTCCCGCTTGCTTTTTCTTAAAATTTCTTCATTCCATTTATATTTATTTTGTTTGACATCATTTGCCAGCAACATCAAAATGAAATTGTTTAGACCACTTTTTCTTTATCGTTGAAGTGGTGCATGCATATATTTACTTTCTTTCATACTCTTCACAACATTTTTCTTCGCGAGTAGCAAAAACGGAAGTTATAACTTAAGGATGTTTTTACTTGGACTATAATTTGTCCCAGACCAGTCCAGACCAGTCCAGACCAGACCAGTTCAGACCAGACCAGACCAGACCAGACTTGGATAGTTATAAAAATACAAAGAAACCAGACCTTACCAGACCAGACCAGTTCAGACCAGACCAGACCAGCAAATTACAGTCCAAGTAAAAACATCCTTATAACCACAAAGGGTGAAGAATAATTTCCAGATTGCATCACCAAAGGAGAATGAAATCATACTAATATATATATTTCTAAAACCAAATTCTTCTTATTGCAAAACTTTTGCTTCATAATATCTAAGTTGTAATACGGAGTAATTTGTTTATTACCGATGATTGATTAGCTCTAATTGAGGACAAAGAAGGTATTGTAAAGATAATTTTTCCCACAGCATGGAATACGAATTTGTACTACTTCTAGACCTGTACAAAACCGGGCCGGCCCGCCCGGCCTGCTCAGCCCGCCCGCACAAATAGGCGGGCTTGGGCATATATATTTACCCACCGGGCCCGGCCCGGCCCGCAATAACATATGGGCGGGCATGTGTTAGGGTGTAGGCCCGTTCGGGCCGATAAGCCCGGCCCGCTACATTTAGTATAAATACATTTTTTAATATATATACTAATTTATTTATTTATTTACATGTACACATGTATATTTATATTTATTAATTTATCTTTATACATATTTATAATTAATTATATTTAAATTTAACATAGTCAACATATGATCAACACCACTAGACCAACTCATTTTCTTAAGTTTTTAGTTCTTAACAACTAGCCCAGTCAAGATAATATCTACTTTTGTACTTAAAGATGATACTTTGTGCTTGAATTTTTAAATTTTAGCTATATTTTCTCATTATATTTTTTGTGCAAGTATCTTTATACATATTTATAGTTAATTATGTTTAAATTTAAGTTTTTAGTTTTTAACAACTAGTCCAACCAATATAATATACGTAGTATGTAGTATATTTTAGTACTTAAAGATAATACTTTGTGCTTCAATTTTAAATTTAAGATATAGTTTCTCATTATATTTTTTTGTGTACGTGGTGACAGGCTTAAAAGCATTATAAGCGTATTAGCAATTTTTTAAATGTTGTAATACTATTTATAAAGTATTTAAAAAATTATATAATTTTTAAAAAATTAAAGTTTTCCCGGGCCGGGCGGCCCGGTGGACTACCCGGCCCGCTCTAATGGGCGGGTATGGACATGAGGTTAGGCCCGTTTTTGTGGGCCGGGCCCGCCCACACATGATGGGCAGAAAATTTATAAAAAGCCCGGCCCGAACCCGTTTTTGTACAGGTCTAACTACTTCCTATGTCTCCTAAAATTCTGACATCTTTCTTTTTCGTCCGTCCCATTAAGACTGTCTCATATATATATCAAATTTGATAAAATTTATGTGATTCTAAATCATTCTTACTTGCTTTACTCTTACTTTATTAATTCAATACTAACTACATAAATTTACTTTTTTTAATGACCGCACTGTCTCTTCATATTGAAATGTTAGTGCGACAAAGATAGCATTCGGTGGTAAAAACCTGACCTGAATGGTATTTCCTGATGGATCAGAGGTGCATCTAGGCTCATTCATCAACTCCCAAGCCATGATAGTCGCATCATTTTTATACACAACTCCAGTCAACGTGTTGACTCTGTTAAGCACAGTCTGCATATATACATATTGCAAAGTATCAAAATCTCAATACCAATCGAGACTAAACAAGGACCCACAGGATGGAGATTTTTCAGATAAAATCACATGCTTTTTTCTCTCTATGTGATTGAAATGTTGTCTCACGAAATGTTCAGCCGTTTAAACAAATGAATAACTAAAATCTTGTTTTTTAGCCTCATCAATCTTATCAGTAATCTTTTTTCATTAAATACGTAATTTCAAATTATGCGTTAGTTGTGAAATAATCAAAGTAAGTAAAGTTGATATTACTTTCTGGTTGAATTGACTGAAGTTAGACGATTTTACTTATTTTTCATATAGTTTTTCTTGATTTTATTAATTAATAAAATATATTTCAATTTTTTTTATCATTCAACAAATTCAGTCACTTCTTCCGTCAGAACTTCATCAATTTCAACATAATAATCCGATTCAGTCAATTTGAGTATTACTAAACGGGTCTAAAAATAAATGCCACCCCTTTCCAAATCCCAAACCAAACAAGCACAAGGTTTACCTCAACAAATTTACTCCGTGGTATAACAAATGGTGAAATGAAGTTAATGAACAAATTTATCACTGCTGGAAAAGTTATAAATATTTTTTTGTTTTCTTTTGGATGAATAATTTTCATTTATTTGTATCTTACCTTTATGTGGTTCTTGTAGTAGCCCTTAACAACTGGATTCCTGAAAAAATCATCATCTGATGAGAGGGACTGCCCTTCACGTCTGGCCCATGCCACGTATTGTTTCTTTCCTCCAAAGCTATCATAATTGTTTGCTAAGCTTAATATCAATTTAATCCCATACTTTCTTGCCTCCGCTATCACAAAATCTAACCCCTTCAAATTTAACATTCAATGAATAAAAATGTCATAAACAAATCATTATGAAACAAATTTAATACTCCGTATACAATAAATATACTGCAAGAGTAAATGAGAGACCAAAATGCAATATTTGCTAATCCGTGTGAATTTTGTGCATTATAACATATTCATTTATACATTATTAGACAATTATGTAAATCTACTTGCTTACAAATCACGTCTGTTTCACAATGCAACATTTGTTAGGGTATTTTTCATTTAATCATACTATCTCTATCCCTAAATTAAAGAACTACCGGGTTACTCTTCTATGATCAACTTAAATAATTTTTAATATTTTACTTTATATATCTAACTTTTATCAATTTTTTTTTGCGACTTTATAATTTTTTTAATGCACTTTCTAAATTTGTAAATTGTATTTGCTAAAAATAATCTATGTATTCACGTAATTGATTAATTTTATCATCAGTCAAACTTTGTAAACTGAAATGAGTCATTTTTTAGGGACGGAGGAATCGAAGTACAACTCATATATTTGTTCATTATTAATCTATTAAATTTATTTACCTAAAGATCATGTTCTTTAATTAAATACTTTGCCTGCGTGCATTATGAAACTTCGGTTTTATGAAACTTTCCTGCATAAATACATTTTGAAAAGTTTTCAACGTGCGCGGGTAAAAAAAATTAGTTATAAAACGCGATATGTGTGTAAAGTTACGTTACAAAACAATTACTGTGTACTACCATAATATAACAAGATCAAATCAATAATTTTCTGAATACCTTGAACATATCTTCATTGTAAGAACCAGGAGAGTACTGAAGAGGCCTATAAGCACCACCATCACTAAAAGCCCAAGTTCTAGCAACAGTGAGGCCATGAGAAGATGCAGTTTTATAGGCATCTGAAACTTTGTACCTCTGGGAAAGGTCAGACCCCACATACATCAACCAGTAAGCATTGAATCCATTGGCATAGAAAGGGTACCCATTCTCACTGAAATGGATTCCATTTGTTCTTATGAACCCATCCCCATCAGCTTTCCCTGAAGCCCACAAGCAGCTTTGCTGAATTGAAATGATTAAAAGAAGTGGTAATAATTCTAAACTCTTCATCTTTCTTGGTGGAGTCTAAAATATGAGAAACACTATTTTCCCCTTGTATTTTGGCTCTTTGAATCAATTTGGAGGAAAAAGCTGAGGCAGAAAGTATATAAGTGCTCAGGAGGGAGGAATAGTGTGGCCGTGTGGGGCTGCTTTAGTCCTTATTGATCGATAATAAAACAAGAATGTCACCTAACATAACTGAAATCATAGGATATATAACAGTAAACTAAATCATATGTATTGGCTTCCTCTGCATAGAAGACAGTTTATATAGATGAGCAAATCGAAAGTAGACACGAGCAACGCATTTGTTTATTGATTGGATATTGGCCTGGCCCTACATCCCACGTACCATAGCAAGTAGCCTAAACTAAGAGCCCGGTCCATTTGGTTGTGTTGGGCCTCTCACCCGATTCGGCTCGATATATGCACCTACTACACCCGCTAGGCTGCTAGCATCTCAAAATCTCCATTGATTACTTCGGGAATATGCTTGCAATTTTAAAGCAAACAGCAAGTTATTGGAGCATTGTTTTTTTTTTTTACTTTTTTTAGCATAAAGAAAATGGCTTATATTAAATTATAATCAGAACTTGGACAAGTAACAAACGACAAAAAGTCTCCTCCCAACCTCCAACTCTCGAATCAGACTCAGAGAAAATCACCTTATCTTATAATGTGCATAACTGAGCCAAAGAAGATCAAAATAGACTTTTCATCACCCAACCCACACTCCTGAACTCCAGAGACTGACAAAAGTAAAACAAAAGCACAACCAACATAACATCCTGACCAACACAAAAAACTAAAAGAAGTCAAAACTAGTAGAGGTAAATAACTTCCCCAGAATCACGAGAAACTTGATCTTTCCTTCTTCGAGAAGACTTTTTTCAGAATCTCAGGCGGGCCTTGAAGTGTCATCTTCCAAACCCTAACCACGTGGCCACTCTGAGGCGGCGATTTAGGAGGGGGCGTACCCTCAAACCAAGAACCCCTGATCAGCCAGTCACTGAACTCAAACATTTCAATTATGCACAAACCAAATAACAAAGCTAAATGTTGATCGCACAAATTCGACCACGTTTGGTTGCGAGCGAGAGAAACCAATCTCCATGATTTTGCCTTACCAACTCCAAACGGTACAAGACATCTACCGAGCAATGAACATAACATAACGTCGCCCAGAGAAAACTAAAGTTGCACGCTTAAAGCGGCGGAAGAAAAACCCTAAGCAAAAGTCGCTAGGGAGCTATCTGCTAGAGAGAGACTCCGATGTTGTAACATTCTTTTCTTGATTTTAGACCAGACTTGAAAATTAGTTTATCCCATCGTTTTTTTTTACTTGATAAAGCCAATTAGTCAAAACGAGTTACTAGTTTTGAGATAAGTGAATTACTACGTACGTAGTATTAAATACTACTTTTGTCTCATATTGGTTGTCTTGTTTTAATTTGACACAATTATTAAAGTGATTGACAAAGTAAAAGTTGTAGTTAAGATTTGAGTAGAATAAAGTCAAATGATATGAATCACATATTTCTTGCCAAAAAAGGAAAGAATTATTCATTTTGGGACAACTTGAAAAGGAAAGTAAGACAATATATTATCAATATTAATATGTGAGAAGGAAGAAGTTGTGACTAACTATTAAATTCCCTTTTACGTTGAAAATAATTTTGTTAGAATTACTCACGTGCCAAGTCAAACCACAAATATCGTAGCCATTACAAAAAAATTTCGAAATAGGAGTAAGGATGTTTTTACTTGGACTGTAATTTGCTGGTCTGGTCTGATCTGGTCTGGTCTGAACTGGTCTGGTCTGGTAAGGTCTGGTTTCTTTGTATTTTTATAACTATCCAAGTCTGGTCTGGTCTGGTCTGGTCTGAACTGGTCTGGTCTGGTCTAGACTGGTCTGGTCTGGTCTAGGGCAAATTACAGTCCAAGTAAAAACATCCTAACACAACAATATTTACATGACAAATAGTTACCATACTAGACATTCAATATGACATTATTTATTATCATTAATGACATTACTTTTCGATCATGACAGTATTTTTCAAACATGACAATATTGCGGAAACAAAAACATAACAATTGTATTTTGGAATCACTGGACTTGTCTAGTCTTATTTAGTGCAATTTTTCATATAACTATCTAACGATTGACAAAATGAAAAGGGAAAAGTACGGAAAATGTACTTGTGGTTGGACCCGTTTTCACATAGGGTCATGTGTTTCATTTTTATCAAAGTGGTTCATGTGATTGAGTTCCGTTATCACAAGAGGGTCACGCCGTTAAAAATGCATGAAAAAGATGATTAATAGTAACTCCGGTTTTTAAAAGTGTCCGAAAAATTAAAAGAAAAATACCAGAAGGTGAACCTCAACAAGACGACGGCTAGGTCATCTTTCTTTTTTTTGTTTCCAGCCATCCTTGTCACCGGAAAGTTCACGTACTGGAAAAGTGTTTAGCGAAATCATTATTTAAAAATATTTCAATTAGATCCGAAAAATCTAAAGGCCAAGGTGGTTTGAAGGTCATCTTGACGAGGCGCGCCTTCCAGTATTTTTCTTTTAATTTTCCGAGCACTTTTGAAATCGGAGTTAGTATTAACCGTTTTTCTCAGACGTTTTTAACGGCGTGACCCACTTGTGATAACGGAATTCAAGCACATGAACCACTTTGAAAAAAATGAAACACATGACCCTATCTGAAAACGGGCCCAACCACAAGTATCTTTTCCGTACATTTTCCAAATGAAAACGATGCAAGTAGTGTCACATGATAGCAAAGAAACTGCTCACCAAATGAAGCAATCTTTTAACAATTAACACACAATTTACATAATTAAATCAAATTCAAGGCTCGATTAGTGGGCGGCCAGCCAGACTGAGTCTACTACTTGACTAAAGGAGTGACAGACTCGTGTTGAAATATTGAGTCACATCAAATATTGTCGGCCCGTTATAGCGGAAGTTGGTCCAAGATATATTAGTTACTTATTGGGTCGACTGACTCATTAACGTTAGTAGCGTTTCACTGGGGCGGATCCAACACACTGGACCTAACTGGGTCGGTACAAAAAATAATTTTGAATTAAGTCATTTTTTACATTTGTGATAGATCGGGGTTTAGATTGGCCCTCCCCTAGATTCGCCCATGACAGTTCATAAATCGGGCCATACCCAATTAACATTTTATTAGTGGACATGTTGTTAACACAAATAAATAGCCCATCATCATTTTTCTACAATTACTATTATTATATGTCAAATATAGGTTCACATTTGTTACTTTATACTACTTTGTTTATACTTGGTTTTATTGCAGATAAATAGATATTTAGGCAGTCTACTTCAAAAAAAAAAATTAGGCAGTTACGATTAAATTTTATAATTGACTATGTGTATGACTACGTCACTTACAACGGACTTCATGTGGAAAAAATTAGGGAGTGTGGGCTGCCGACAATTTATAAGAAAATTAGAAAGGTAACATGGAATTGGAAACTTGATATGGGCTGCCTTTACTTCCATGCTTTCTAGTTTCTATGTGACTATGTCTTCACGACATTACACAAACAGCTGATTTGTTTCATTCGATCTAATTCTACTTCTTCAATTCGACTACTACTTTTAAAACTGAGACCTACTATACAATTTTCAATCTTACCTATCCTTCCAAACTCTAATGCAAATTATACCGTGGGATCGACATACCATAAGCATGGTGTGCTGATCTCACTTACTCCAATACTGTGTACTTCTTTATTTTCCTTTCTAGTATGTATTTCCTTTTCTTTCCTTTCCTTTTTAAATCTTTTTTCCTTTTCTACAATTCTTTTTCTCTCTCCATCAAATACTAAAAATGTAATTACAATTCAACTTTTATTTATATATCTTCAACTTAAATTAGAACTCAATTTATTTTTTATTCTTTATCCATTCATAACAAAAAAATATTAATATGAATAAAATAAGTGTGTTACATTTCACATCCATACACTATTTTTATTTCTGTAATATTTTTTTTTGTATTATACACTTTTTTTGTAATATTTTTTTGTATTATACAATTTCTTTGTAACATTAATCTAAATAAAATAAGTATATCACATTTGACATTTATACACTGTTTTTATTTTTGTAATAATTTTTTGTATTATATACTTTTTTATAATATTTTTTTTCATATTCATACACTTTTTTCTATAATATTTTTTTTATCTCTTTTATATGTTTTTAGTATTTTTCAGACATTTAATTTGTTTATTTCAATTTACATTTGATAAAATATGAGATTGCATCTTCATACGTGTAGATTACATTTTCACACGTGTGGATTATGTTTATAGACAATTTTTGGAGTTACATTTGATAGTATATAGAGTTACATCTTCTTGTGCTTGAGTTACATCTTTTTTATGTGTGAGTTACATCTTCCTATGCGCGAGTTATATTTGGATTGACCTCAACAAGTTACATTTTACATACCCTTAGGTTAGATTTTTCATCAACCCGAGGTATATTTTCCATAACACGGGTTACATCACAAAATAAAATCATGCTATTGAAACAAAAAATATATTTTTTTGCAAACAAATGAGTTTTTTTTTTGGCGAAAAAAGATTGTTCTTTAATTTTTTGTCCTTAATATTAAAAAAACATATTCAATATTTATGTAAATTAATTGAGCAATTAGACTCATTGTTTTTATTGTTTACATTTGATAGTATATGGAGTTACATCTTCTTATGCGTGTGTTACATCGTTTTATGCACGAGTTACATTTGGACTTGCGTCAACAAGTTACATTTTGCATATACATAAGTTAGATTTCCATCAACGTGATTTACATTTTGCATAACACGAGTTACATCATAAAATAAACTCCTGCTCTTGAAATAAATAAATAAAACATTTGTTTGCAAACAAAATAATTTTTTTGGCAATTTTTTTTTATGAACTCAATATTAACAGCAAAACATATTCACTATTCCTGTAAAGTAATTGAGCAATTAGACTCCTTGTTTTTTATTGTTTACATTGAAACTAATGTTTTATTTCTTATACTCCGTGTTAGACAAGTTACATTTGATTTGTCTGCAGTTACATTTCTTATCAACGTGACTTACATTTCCGATCCTTATACGGGAGTTACATCACCCTGCTACTGAGACAAGAAAAAAAATCAAGAAAATTAATATTCACGCGTGAATAGTACACACG